TATTATTATATGCATATTTATATATGTATTGCATGTACTTATTTTTATATGCGTAAGAATGTAAAATTAAATAATAATTTATATTTAAAAATTATATATAAAATAAATACACACACACACACACACACAATTTCAATTGGACTTCCGTAGCCGCTGTGTTTGTTAGCCTCTGTGCTAAGCGATCGGATACGAGTCAATGAAGCTTTAAATCCTAACACAAGCTTCCACATTCACGTTTACATATTCATTTTACGCCCTTAGACAATTTATATGCAAATTACACTCATTTTATCCAGAGGGCGAAAGGCTACAGTCCATTAGCAGCTCGCTAGCTAAGCTAACACAGACTGGTTCCCAACGGTGACTGGGATTAAAACCACCAATATATTGCTACAAACGTTCAAATAGATGAGCAAAAAACAGAATTACCTTCCCTGCTTGTAAATAAACCAGGCAAAATATTACATCTGCAGTAGTTTTTGACGTTTTCCCAGCTTTAGCGCGAATCAATCAGATACCTATTTGTTTGACAGCGAGCGCTTCAAAACAAACACATGACAGCTGTCAATCATCGATCATTATTTCTTCAAAGTCATCTAATAGTTAGTATTAAAGAGCTTTGTGTACACTGTAGCAGGCCGCAATGCGGGACTGTGGCGGTGTCTCAAAATCTAACTCCGCTCGCTAAGTAGATAGCGCACTTAGATTCAAGACAAAGATGCTATGGAAAATGCTAAGTAGGCAACTAAAATGTTTCCGTGTCTGCTATGCCTTAAAATACTGTCTAAGCAAACAGCACATTTTGATTTGAAACTATAATGCCCCAGATTGCTGTCTATGTAGGCAGCTCGCTAGGTTTGGAAAACGGCCCGAGTGACAGTTGACCGAACCGGAAACGCAAACGCAACGCATACATATAAATAAACCGCGTTACCTGATTCGGTTCACATATCAATCAGTCGGTCGTTTGGGTGATTTTGCGGGAAAAAGCGGGCTTGATCGAGCTGCATGTTTGTCGGTAGACCCGATGAGATCAGATCCGCTCCTCCATCGTCTGCACGGGCGGCGGGGGTTTGGCTCTGGCTGCAGTGGCTGATGTGAACGAATCGTTCGTTTGAACCGATTCTTCTCAATGATTCAATCGCAAGCGTTTGCAAATCGATTGCTGTCTATGTAGGCAGCTCGCTAGGTTTGGGACCACGGCCCGAGTGACAGTTGACCGAACCGGAAACGCAAACGCAACGCATACATATAAATAAACCGCGTTACCTGATTCGGTTCACATATCAATCAGTCGGTCGTTTGGGTGATTTTGCGGGAAAAAGCGGGCTTGATCGAGCTGCATGTTTGTCGGTAGACCCGATGAGATCAGATCCGCTCCTCCATCGTCTGCACGGGCGGCGGGGGTTTGGCTCTGGCTGCAGTGGCTGATGTGAACGAATCGTTCGTTTGAACCGATTCTTCTCAATGATTCAATCGCAAGCGTTTGCAAATCACTCGACTGGTGTGAAGTGGAATCATAAACAACACCCCAATATTGTCTGTCAGGTAATAAACAAACACAATTACGGTCTCAATATCAAACAGCATCAAAATCACACCACTAAATACAGTCAAAACGGCCAATTTGGTCGAAATTGCGTTTTACAAACATTAGAAAACGAAGTGAACACTCACGAAACGGGTTATAGTGACGATGTC